CCCCCCTTTTCGGTAATACGCCAGTCTGCAGTCTGGAAGACAACCAGGACCACAATCTGCCAGGTTTAGTTTTTAGTTCTAGTAGAGGTTTTACGGCACTCGCAACTGCATAAAGTCATATGAGCGCCAGAAGATTAGAGGTGTTACAAGAGAGTACCAAACATAAAAAAGAAGAAGGGGAGATAAGGACGATAGATGTTTGATAGGAAAGAAGAAGCATACCACTCCAGGGCACCCACCAACCACCCACAATCTGCCAGGAAGAGGAACAGAAGAAAGAGGAAAGAGAAGGGAACACAGACAAAACCTTTCACCAAACCATCCCAAGGCTTGGTGTCCAAACCATCCCAAGGCTTGGTGTCCAAACCATCCCAAGGCTTGGTGTCCAAACCATCCCAAGGCTTGGTGTCCAAACCATCCCAATTTTACTATATTTTGCTTTTTTTTTCGTAAGACTAGTAAGAGTTTTACGCGGTTGCAACACAATGCGGTCATATAACTACATGTATAAGTGAAGAAGATTACAGGTGTTACAAGAGAGTAACAAACACAAAAAAGAAAGAAGGGAGATAAGGACGATAGATGTTTGATAGTAGGAAAGAAGGAGCAAACCACACCAGAGCACCCACCAACCACCCACATATTTGACAGTTTTGCGACTACAACTTACAACACAACCTGTACAGTCCATGTCGGCTTTAAGCACGGTCATCGGGAGAAAGCTTAAGCGTGCTTAAAGCCGAAGCGTGCTTGAGTGCGAAGTAGACATAATCCAGAGATTTTCATGTAGAACATTTCCCGTGCTATTTCCCTTTGTTTGTAAGTTGGCCTATACCTATAGCGGTCACGCAAAAGTGTGCACGGTTATTTTTACCCCGTCAGTTTTGTTTGCTTTTGTTTTGTGGTCGAATCGAAAAAGAAAACTTAATTTAGACGGCCGGTCACGATACAGCACATTAAGCCTACAAACTGCCTGTGCGTACCGCTGCCCGATGTGCCACATTCATACCACCGCCTTCATCCCACCTCGTGCGTGATACACAATCTGGATTAATGGACAGCGAGGGGCAAAGGTGAGATCGCAGCCAGCCTCCCTTTCTCGTTGTATTTTTTTGTCTGTGTGTAACTTTGCCCTTTGCTAGACCGTATGTCCGCGCGCACGGCTGTGTGCATCTGCCTTCCTCTCCGCCCGTGTGAGTGTGTGACGTGTGTGTCCATCACTTGCGTTCTTTCACTTTGTATTTGTCTTGACACACTCCACTGCTGCGGTGTAGACTGTTTGTTCAAACTTGGATGGGTCATCATGAAAATATTGACTGTCTTGTAAATGAAGCGTGCCTGAAGCCGAAGTTACCGTGCTTAAAGGCGTGTAATTTATATATCAAATTCGGTAAGAAGAGCCGTTTAGCGTGCTTGAGTCCAAAAAGTGCTTTATGCCGGCGTGCTTAAAGCCGGCACGGACTGTATTACAGTAATTACACCGGCAGCAGTTCAGATAGACAGCATAGCCTACCAAATCCAGTACAGTGCAGTCTCTCTACGACCTTCGATATAATAGAACATCCTCTACTCGGTATTGCGACATGGTGCCCAGGTCTTCATTTTTTCCCTCATTATCATTAATAAGAGAGTAACAAACACAAAGGAGGGGAGATAAGGACGATAGATGTTTGATAGGAAAGAAGGAGCAAACCACACCAGAGCACCCGCTAACCACACACTCTACTTCTGTGGAGAGGGGAAGGTGGCATTCAACCCTATCCGTACGTCGTGTTTTACTATCGTATCCATAGGATGTGGGGAACTATGTGTCACCACTTAACCCTATCCGTACGTCGTGTTTTACTATCGTATCCATACGACGTGGGGAACTCTGTGCCACCACTTAACCCTATCCGTACGTCGTGTTTTACTATCGTATTCATACGATGTGGGGAACTCTGTGCCGCCACCACTTTCCAAAGAGGAAATTTACTCGATCCGTATGCTTTGCGTAGTAGTCTGTCAAAATGATTTTTTGAGAAATACTGAAAGTTTCAAAGAGATCTTCGCACTAGAAGTATTCTAAAATATGAAGAATACAACCCTGGGGGCACACAATGACCCCAGGGTGTACGGACAGGGTAAACCGATCTTGCCTTTTTTCTTTTGTAAAATTATTTCGTTTCAAGTGCACCTCACTCAACAAAGGACATGGGCTTTGGACCTCTACGGCAGCGTAATTAGTTCCACTATTCCGTGCTAGTGTTCGAGCTTCGCTTCGTTTTCTTAAAAAGATGAAGAAGAAGAGAAAGAAAGAAGAAAGAAAACACCCGGGACTGTAGGCACAGTTCAACAACAGATTCATGACTTGAGTTTTCTGTGTTCAACCCATGCGGGTTCTACTGACTTAACTTATACATTGTCTGCACTTTTACTTTACACCCCACATCTACACAATTTCCATCCTTTTAGTTTTAGTAGAAGTTTTACGGCACTTGCAGCACAATAAGGTCATATAATATATATAAGTGCCGAAGATTAGAGGTGTTACAAGAGAGTAACAAACACAAAAAAGAAGGAGGGGAGATAAGGACGATAGATGTTTCATAGGAAAGAAGGAGCAAACCACACCAGAGCACCCACCAACCACCCACTTTCCATCCTTTAGGAGGCTGGCTTTCGGCCCTGCATGTCAGGGCCCAGCAAGACTGAGAGAAGACAGCATCCCTGCAGAGAGACAGACTTGATGACTAATTCTCCCCACCTGGGAATGGCACTAGGGTCTCCAGCATGCCTCAGCCAGTTGAGCCAGACGTTCTAATCACTACACCACAGAGCCCACTACATTCCAATAGGTTTTGAGTAAAAGTTTTACGGCACTTGCAACACAATTAGTTAGGTCATGTCAGTGCCGAAGATAAGAGGTGTTACAAGAGAGTAACAAACACAAAAAAGAATGAGGGGAGATGAATGAGGACGATAGCAGTTTGATGGGAAAGAAGGAGCAAACCACAACAGAGCACCCGTCAACCACCCTCAGTAAGAAGAGTTTAGTTTTTAGTAGAGGTTTTTCGGCGCTCGCAACTGCATAAGGTCATAAAATGAGCGCCAGAAGATTAGAGGTGTTAAAAGAGAGTAACAAACATAAAAAAGGAGGGGAGACAAAGACGATAGATGTTTGATAGGAAAGAAGGAGGGGAGATAAAGACGATAGATGTTGATAGGAAAGAAGGAGGAGGGGAGATAAAGACGATAGATGTTTGATAGGAAAGAAAGAGGAGGGGAGATAAAGACGATAGATGTTTGATAGGCAAGAAGGAGGAGGGGAGACAAAGACGATAGATGTTTGATAGGAAAGAAGCAAACCACACCAGAGTCAGTAAGAGTTTTACGAAATTTACAACACAATAAGGTCATACGAGTGTTGAAGATTAGAGGTGTTACAAGAGAGCAACAAACATAAAAAAGGAGAGATAAGGACTATAGATATATATATAATTTGATGGGAAAGAAGGAGCAAACCACACCAGAGCACCCGCATGTTACAAGAGAGCAACAAACACAAAAAGAAAGAGGGCAGATAGAGACGATATTTCTTTTAAAGAAAAGAAGGAGCAAACCACACCAAAGCTGCACCCACCAGCCACCCACTCATTCCAACACAGAACACAATTAGGAAACAAACGACAAGACGATGAGGGTCCAAATTTGATATTCTCAACATTTATTTACGAAAATGAGAGGCAATTACTGCAAAGACAAGATGAACATCATAAGACCAATCTTACACAAACAAACGAGATAAGCACCGATCATCCATGACAATGTTAAAACCTGTTTTCTTTCAAAATATAATAACTTCACAATTTACCATGTGCTCACTGTGCTCTGTAAAAATTGGGGGAGAAAAAAAAAAATGCTTCAAAAATTGAGACATTGTTCCGTTGTTTACTTTGCACTTCCTTCTGTCCAGTGAGGGATTTAAAAATTGAAAATTGGAACAGTAGAGAATAATGTGAGAGAGAGAGAGAGAGAGAGAGAGAGAGAGAGAGAGAGAGAGAGAGAGAGAGACTATCTCAATTCGAAAGAGACGAGACCTTGTCTAACAAAACTAGAAGAGTTGTTCCTGCGAGACTTCTTCCACGACTGATGAAGCAGCAGCAGCAGTTGCTACACATGAGATGAGGCAGGCATCAATGGTCCAACATAGGTCGGGGATGAGAGGGCGGTCTCCTCCCCTCACACAATGGGGGGTGGGGGGGAGTGGGGACGTGTGAAACGACCGACAAAATGATCTCATCAACAAGAACAAAACAGCTCCCTTGGCAAATGACCTGAGATATAATCATAAGGATGATGGTACAACTTCAGAGCGGAACAAGAGTCAAAGAAAACACGTACAAATTTCCTTACGTACCATCCATCAATTTGCTGCGTTTGCAAGAGGAAATCTTTGTGACTGATTTTTTTTGTACAAAGAAGGAAAAAAAATGGAACTTTGACTTGTACATGTGTGAAGGATGAATGGAACAAAATTTTATGAAGCTTTTGGAAACACCACAAATCATGATATGAACTTTATGTTAGAAACAAAGTGAAAAAATAAAATACTGTGTTTAATTACGGTACCTAATTTGCTTCACATAACCTTTAAAAAAAAAAAAAAAAAAGCAAGTTTTATATTTATTCCCCCCCCCCCCGTTTCACTGAACACCACGAAGGTAGGTGGGTACAACCTTTACGTAGACAAAGATTTGGAACGCCAGTGACCTTGACACACACGCAGGCCGGAGCAACACGTCCCAGGCTTGTCAGACAAGGCGGAGGCCTCCAGACCCTCACTCTCCACAAACCGGGACAGAAGGAGGACAATTTACCTCTCAGATACAACCACTCACTAACACAATGGAACTTCTACTTGGCCCAACCACTCCTCAGCCAAAGGGATGAAAGTGCACACCGAGACCCAATAATACAACTTTTGTTTTGTTTTGGTTTTTTTCCTTTTCTTTTTTAAAAACATCTTCCATAACATTTTCTCTACTTCAAGTACAAAGAGAAGAAAATTTTTGAAAGATTTTTAAAAGTCTGCTTTTCAACAAACAGCCACGGCATACAAAAACTCTCAGTAAAAAACCCCCAAAACAACCCAACAAAAAGATGGAAGGTTGCATCTGAGACCTAGCAGAGAGGATGTTGATGGGAACTTCTGAAGCAAAGGAAAATGACAACATGGAATAGTGACAAGTTTCCGAGTGAGATGACGATCGATGACACATGAACTGATGATGAATGATACGTTGTCTCAGTCAAAGTTACGCACACAAAAATAAAAATAAATATAAAAAAAAAAAAATTTAAAAAAAAGAAAAAGAATGGTCCTCATGTCTAACCCTCCTCCTCCTCCTCGTCCTCATCCCCCTCGCCCTCCTCTTCAACCTCCTGGGGAAACAAGGAAAACACAAGGAAATGTCAGTATGTTCTTAGCTGTAGTCTTGTAACAGTCAGTGGCGTTTGTAACACAAACAGGTCATTGTACAAGAGCTGAAGACTACAGAAGGTGTAACTAGAAAGTAACATTCAAACAAAACAAGGAAAGATAAGGACAAGTAGTTTTAGTTTTAGTAGAGTTTCTTTTTATTAGTAGAGGTTTTATGGCACTCGCAACTGCATAAGGTCATATGAGCGCCAGAAGATTAGGTGTTACAAGAGAGTAACAAATATAAAAAAGAAGAAGGGGAGATAAGGGCGATAGATGTTTGATAGGAAAGAAGAAGCAAACCAGACCAGAGCACCCGTCAACCACCCATTCTATGGCATTTGTCAGAAGACAAATACAGAATGGGTGTCGCATTCAACGAGAAGTTGGCTCCAACGAGGCAATCCCTAATCCCCAATAAATCCAGCAAAACAAAGTTTAAAAAAACTTCTATACCCAGGGAAGCTTCAGTGTTACCCCCCCCCCCCCCCCCCGGTTTACTATGTCACAAAATACAGTTTAGAAAACGCACATGCAATATTTGTGTTTTTTTAACACCACGGAAGCAAAATAAACTCAATATTTTTAATTTGAAACTGAGTAAGGAAACCTTCTCATGTGCGTGAGGGTACGAGCACAAAGCGAAAGATTCAGACATGAACCGCATCCCCAACATAAAACAAGATTTTAGTTTAGTTTTAGTCAAGGTTTTTCGGCGCTCGGAACTGCATAAGGTCATATGAGCGCAAAGGGCTGGATGTCAACAGAGAAGTCCTTACAGGGAATCAGACTTATTCTGCTCACCTCCCTAGCTTCAACAGCATAAAGTCTGCTTCGACTATCAAGGCACCCCAGAAATAGCCGGTCACAAGAGTGTGATAAACATACAAAAGAAGTAGAGGAAAAATGACGATAGTAAGGATTAGCAAAGCAAAAGCAGCAGTTCCCTGTTGCAGTTCAGGCACAGTTATGAGCGTGACATTGATGAATCAGCTCATTTACTATTACAATTCTACTGTGCATAAGAACTCGCGATGTTAATGTCCCCACCTTTGGGAATGGCCTAAAGACACTTCTGTCAGAAGCACCGCTCCAGGGGGCAAAAAAAAAGATTTGATTAGGCAGTCACTCGTTCAACCACAATACTTACATCTTCAGGTTCCTCTTCGTCTTCATAGTTTCCCTCGTCATCAAGATCATCTTCTGAGAAAAAATAAACATAAAATATTACAATCTAAATTTCAACATGTGCTAGAATCACAAAATACAAAGAAAACAGGGACAGTTAATATTTCATATCTGCATAACTGAAAGTGATCAGTTCTGAATAAAAAGACAACAATGTTTCTATCTAAATCCAACTTTCTGATTATATTATGCAGGCTTGCCAACTTTTGAGATACTGAATTATGGAACTTTGATTGTGCCAGACACACACTTCTGTGATAGGCTACTAAAGATACAAAAAAACAAGAAACAACACCCACACTGTTTCGGGAAAGACAATGGCAATTCGGGAATTTCCCGAAAAATTCGGGAAGGTTGGCAAGCCTGTTACGCAACCTATCACAAGAGGTTTTCACAACGCACAAGCTGTATTTTTTCATTGACTACAATCTGACCAATTTCAGGAGAATCCTGAGCAGTAACGATTGTGACATGAAAATAGATATCCCCCCCCCCCCCAGTACGAGAAAACTGCTTTTATTGTTCTGTCACCTCAGTACAACCAAACCTTTTCCCAAACTGTTAGCAAATCTCCAGGGAAAAATGACAATTTTGCCATCCATGCAACTAGAAGACTTGACTGGTGCAACACGACACATCCCCTCCAATCATCACTGGCCGCTGGATGATGCAAACATATACAGGGGGCTCTCGTGGTCTACGGGTTACAGTGTTTGCCTTTCATTCAATACGTCTTGTGTTCGAAAGCTGACAGCGCAAAACTCCTTTCCTGCTCTATAACCATGCTGTCATTCGCTTTTATTTGTCTCCACTCCCCCCCCTCACCATCCATGATACATATTCACAACAAAGTGTAACTTTCATGGACTTACCCTCAACACCGTCCCCGCCAGTCTCCTCGTCTATTTCAGACGCCTGGAAAAAAAAAAAAAAAAAAGAATACAAAAGTCAAGACAATAGAATCCTGCAAATGAGAAATCGATATCCAAAACTAAAACTTTCAGAATAAAATGTTTCTACACATCTGGTGATAACTTCTCTACACATCTGGTGATAACTTCTGACTTTATTCGCATCTAACTAAAAGTGATTGTTTTTCCTCAATAATTTTCTTTTATATTCTTAATTATATTTTAAAACTCTTCTTTCAATGTAACCTTTAACACTTTACTTTACTTTTCCGATCCAGCGGCCATTTGGGTTCTAGCCCTTCGGTCTGTCGATATGGCAAAGAATTGACAGGTTTTAATCAGCTGTGTTGTGTCGCTGTATAGAGTGTTAACCTTTAACACAAAATGACAATGATTTCTGCTTTACGTGGAATCTGTAGACACAACACTTCATTATTTTCTCTGTGTGTGTGTTTGTGTGTGTTCATTTTAACTGATTTTCTACACAGCTCAAAGTCTGTTTCTAGAACACAAACTTCTAGACTTGTTAAAAAAAAAAAAAATGAAATAAACACAAGACAATATGGCGTGCTCAAAGTAATGCTGGACAAAAGCTGTATTCTATTATTACATTTTCAGGTGGTTGTTTAACAAATATTTTGAGCTGCAAGTCTTTATAGAACACTAATGTACCAATCACCATTTACATTCGTTTCATAAGTCCACGTACAATGGAGTTGGCTGAACCTGCAATCGGCAGAACTGTCAGAAATTCTTTAGTTTAGCTGTGGGTTTTTTTTGGCTTAGAAAGGTTGCTCAAAAATGTGAAAAGAAAAAAATTAATAAATAAACCCAGGGATCTGTTTTTCTTTCAGTTCACTGCCGTTCTTGGATCAATCATGTTGGGTTTAACTCATTGACGATGTGCCGGGTTCCGGCGAGGTCAACAAACTCTCAAGACACGCCGGGTCCCGCGTACAATTTTTTTTGTTACCTAAAAACTAATAGAATCTCAAGGGGAATGACTCCCAGAGTTAGTTAAACCATTTAACTTTATTGTGGTTGTATCCCTTTGACCATTGGTCACCCGTATTGTGTGCTATAAGCAATCTGCCGAAACACGCTGACCTGACCTACTTTTTACATAAACAAGCAAGAGAGAGCTACTGGATGCTCCTTTCACTACCAATGAAGCGATAGGGATTATTGATTCAGGAGACTACAGTGCTCCTGGCAATATCACTATTCTTATAGATATCACTTTGTATTACTTGTTGGAAACCATTCTAATTGACTACAATCAATTCTGAGATCCATGTGCTCAGCTCATAAAAAAAAGTATTTTTCCACATTTACATATAGTTCCCCCCCCATCTAAAACATTTTTTTCAGTTTTTATAAAAGTAAATACATTTTATGTAAGTATACATGATGATCTTACTTTGTGCCAAATTTCATACCTGTACAGTTGATAGGTTTATCACACTGATTTTTTTTTTAATGGGTAAGAATCGTGCATTCCAAGTGAAATTTTTGTGAAAACTTGAGTCTTCAATGAGTTAAGCAGACTCCAGTTATTTGGCGCTCATATGACCTAATGCAGTTGCAAGCGCCGTAAAACCCTCTACTATAAAAAAAAGACTCCAGTTTAAGTCCCCGTCACTGACCAGGTAGTACTGCAGTGGGTTGGGCCAGATATCGTCCTTGATAACCTCCCCGAGTTCGTCAGCGCCGGCGTCACCATGGTCGCCGAACCAGCTGAAAAATGATTCCTGGTCGTCGTGACTCCTCTTCTTTCCCTTGTTGTCGTTTCCCTTCTTCGTCAAGTCCTGCAACGAGGAAACACAATGTCACATGAATATTTTTACATTACCACATTGGAGATCAATCACTTGTCTTGGGAGAATGATTAGGATAAACGGTTTTTACAACTAACCATGATCTCTCAATATGACGACAATACATACGCCACAAACGAATCTAAATATCAAAATGTTTGGACTGCTCTGTTGACATCCACCGCCTGGCGCTAATACGACCGTATGCAGTTGCGAGAACCGTAAAACCTCACTAAAACCAGAATTTCAAAATTCGGCAACTGCATTTTCAGTAATAATAGTCAAGAAACTAAACAGCGTACAATTCATATGAATACAGGGAACAATTAGCTATGCTGCTGGAACAGCAGAGACATCTCGGCATTCGTTTCATCCAACCTCTTTAGCACTGTAGCAAAAATAAATCAAGACCACTATCTATTCCTTCATTTGTTTAGACCTGCATGTGAGCCTCAACCAAATTGAAAATTTTGCGCGCACCCCCCCCCCCCCCCGAGCTTTTGTGGGTGTCATAAGGAGGGACTTCCAAGAAAGGAGGGACTTCCAAGAAACGAGCGACCACCCCAACAAAACACAATAAAGAAGAGACCTAAACCTAACCCTACCCCAAAAAAGAACCGGCAACGGGCCTCATGTAAAAATGCCACCACAAGTCCAAAATGAAAAAATAATTTAAAAAAAAAAAAACCCACACTCCAAACCAAACAAACGAGCATTATAATATGGCCTACATCTCCATTGCTACAATAGGGTGTGATACAATAACACAATAGGGTTTGATACAATAACACAATAGGGTTTGATACAATAACACAATAGGGTTTGATACAATAACACAATAGGGTTTGATACAATAACACAATAGGGTTTGATACAATAACACAATAGGGTTTGATACAATAACACAATAGGGTTTGATACAATAACACAATAGGGTTTGATACAATAACACAATAGGGTTTGATACAATAACATAATAGGGTTTGATACAATAACACAATAGAATTGGAATATGAATCCTCCATATAGATCTAGTAATCTAAATAAATCTAGAGTCTAGATCTAGATCTCTAGATCTTGTAGAACAAGTGAATAGGAATAGGCCTTGAACTAGAAATCCGCATCCGATTCCGAACAGAGGGACTCAACTGAGTCTTGATTCTAAATAAATAAATAATTCACGCACCTGATGAAATGCTCTTTACCAACATTAATATTACAGCACAACCTATGATAGGGTTTGACACAATAGAATTGGAATATGAATCCTCCATTGAGGTCTATAATGATCTTTATAAATCTAGATCTAGATTCTATTAGAACAAGTGAGTCGGACTTAAATGAATCCACACGATCTGAACAATTGAATTAGTAAACAAACGAAATTCAAAATGGCCGCTCAAGCACGAAACTGAAAGTAGATAATTTAGGTCGTCGTCCTTTTTCGTATTGGCATTTCTACCCAGGTTCCGACAATTATGTCGGAAACGCCGACGTCGGCACGAAAACAAAAGTGCCGACAAAGCCGACGGGAGAAAAATGGGGCGTTGGCAGTCGGCCAGGCCTCGCACTACCCACATTGACTGGTACAGATGGGCCTAGCGATAGCATCGGCCGGCTCGCGGATCGGGTCGCGATTGTCGGCAAACATGCAGGTCTAATAAGTTTTTTGTAGCCATTAGAGATAAGCTCAAGTTCCTCCCCATAAACAACCAATGTTTTCCCTGCTTTGGGCCATGTACAGATAGGTCCAGTAAAAAAACCAAACCAACCCCACTCACCTTTCCCTCTTTCCATTTGATGGGCGTGGACTGTGATGAAGGATCGCCTGAGTCGTTCAGGTGGAACTCTTTTGTCAGCATCTCGTTTGAGAAGTATGGGTTTGAATCGAAGTGCTGGAGAAAGGAACACATCAAAAGGTTTACTTCAACAAAACTTAGCAAGCGATAAACACAAAACAGAACACAATCAAAGCAAAGTGGAACTCATAAATCAGTGCACAATTTCAATCTCTTTGAAAATAATAGATCAACCCCCCCCCCCATATATACTTATCAACAAAGAGAACAATGTAATTTCAATTATCTCAAATTAAAATACCTGTTGAGCACTTGTAAATATATTATTTCATACCAGGCATATAACTGGCTTGTATGTTTGAAACAGTGTCACATTGCGACCTCAGTGCTGTCTAGTCGTATATCCATTTTTTAAACAGTGAAAATGTGACATCTTCTTGAGCTCACTCTTTGTTATGAACTTTTCACTGTTATTAAAAATGGAGATACGACAAGAAAGCACTAGGGTCGCGACATCCCGCCCATGCGTTCAACTTAGAGCTAAAAAACAAACAAACAAATCCACTTACAAAGTTAATTCTGTAGCCAGATTTGATATCCTCAAACTCCTGAACTTCGACCTTGGTGAGGTACTGCAGGGCCTCCTCATCGTCCTCGTTGAGTAAGGCTGACACTTGGGGATGATTGACAAACTGACAAGCCATAAGGAAACTAACAACATATATATATCTATTTTTAAAAAATAGTACAGGGTTTTACGGCGCTCGCAACTGCATAACGTCATATGAGCACCTACAACATATATATATATATATATATACACAACTCAAACAAATATTTTAATTACCTCAGTCAAACGAATCATTTTTTAGTAGAGGTTTTACGGGGCTCGCAACTGCATATGGTCATATGAGCACCAGAAGATTAGAGCTGTTACAAGAGAGTAACAAAAGTAAAAAAGATGAAGGGGAGATCAGGACGATAGATGTTTGATAGGAAAGAAGAAGTAAACCACACCAGAGCACCCGCCAACCACCCACAGAGCATTCTGAAACCACCTCAACTTCCTGGGAAGCATACAGTGCAAGCCGCGCGATTTATGAACACTGAAACACTAACACACGGACATCGACATAACACATTGACATCAACACGAAAACAGTCATTTAATGCTGGGAAAGAGCAAGAGAGACAGGCAGAACTAACACGAGGTAAAGGACCTGCTAGTGGCGCCCTCCAGCCACCCTTTGGAAATCAATAAAAGGAAACATTGAGAAGTACAAAAAAATACATCCCACTACCCAAACAAAACATGTAAGAATGCTTTTGTTTTCATGTGAACATAATCCTCTTTCTTTCTCATTTCTCTCCTGTCATGCTAGATACTTCTGCAATGAAGTCAACACAAGAAACTGCAGTTGACTCCCCCTGAGATCTAGAAGAAGGCAAAGAAGAAGAGCAGACAAGATCTGCCCAGTGTTACACAATCTGTTTCAAACAGATTTATTTTAATTTCACATGTAAAAATAGATTCAGAAATTAGGATTATCTTTCAATCTCTTATAACAGAAAATTTGACCCCAATTCATTGTTCCAAATATATAGCAGGACAGAAGAGAGAAATAAAAAAATTGTTTTCCATCAAGAGAATAATCAACTACCACCACAAGCAGAAAACTCTGCCTGACTTAAAAAGTCAGTTTTCAAGACGAAGAGATTTTTAAAACCGCAAAGAGCATGTTCACTTGTGACAAAAACAACAACAACAAAACAAAACAAAATATGAATATAACAGCAAAGCAAGTTTCCTAAATGACAAATGCAAAGAAGCAGTCAACAAGAAAGGATACAGCAGTGACCCAGAAGTTTGGAATTTTCGCTATTAGATCTGACCGCTTCTTGAAATAAGGCTGCCTGAGTGTGTTGTATTTCTGTTCAACTTTGAGAATCTCTTCACTCGCATTTTCATTCAGTTTGTCGATCTCATTCTGAACTTCATCTATTTGTTCAATAGCTTCTTGCTGTTCTTTGTCTGAAAATAAAAACAGAAAAAGTACAATCTTAGTATTTGTGAAACATAAATCCCTGTCAAAACATGAGATTCTTGGACTATAAATTATAACCACAAGTCGGTGTCCAACTGCTAACCATGGATCCACCAAAGTAGGTCACAAGCTTTCTTTGTCTCAGATCATGTTATTCGTAATCGTAATTACAATTGGTGATATGAAAATAAAAAAGACTACACAAAGTTGGGAACAATTTTAGACGATAAGCCTGTCTCCTTATGCATGGCGCTACGGAAAGTCGAGCGTGACAGTCACTAGTGACGAGTCGCGAGGTGTGAATCCTTATACAGGGTGCCCATTGCGGATGGGATCAGGTCGGGTGCAACCGCCCCACTTGTAACCTGAAAAAAAACAACTATTTTTTAGGCGGCGAGCCGGTGCGATCAGCTTGTGCCATGATAGTTGCTTTGCGCCCCCAATCTGGCAAGCAAACCGCCCCGACATGACCCCCCAATGGGCACCCCGTATTGTGCGCGACCACACCCCCCTAATTTTTCAGTCATGTGCAACAAAACTAGTCTCCTTGTGCGTGGCACGACGTTTTTTGTTTTGTTTTGGTAAGAGTGTTACAGAACTTGCAACACAATAAGGTCATATAAGTGCCGAAGATTAGAGGTGTTACAAGGGAGAAACAAACACAATAAAGGAGGGGAGATAAAGACGATAGATGTTTCATAGGAAAGAAGGAGCAGACCACACCAGGGCACCAACCAACCACTGCGCGGCGTTCAGTCGCGTTCGACTGGCCATGCACACAAGAGAGACAGGGGCAAATTTAAATGTCAAGATTGACAAGGAAGCACAAAGTCCGTCAAATGGGAGTTCTACGAGCCGCTGACTTTTTTTCCGGGCATGACCAGTCCTCCTCTTCCTCTTCCCTCTCCTCCTCCTCCCTCTCCTTCTCCTCCTGCTGCCCGTAAAAACAAATAAAAAACCAAAATTAGATTCACAAAACCTGCATTGGATCGAACTGAAGATGAACATCCTAACACACACACACACACACAGCGTGTTGACCGTCACTCCTTGGCTAGATATTTCAACCAGTGGTGATGCTCTAAACAAGTCACGCCCCCCTGTCGCACAAAACTAAACGTCATGTCGCGTGTAAGGAGAAAGCTTTAACATTTTTGTTTTCACACACACACTCAAAAAAACAAAAAAACCTGCCCTAATATGATTGGCCACCTTTATTCTCACCCCGTGTGAGAACAACCCATGTCTCGCTATTCTCACCCCCCTCCCCCCTTTGTTATGAATAGCTCCCACCCCCGGTGTGGGCAGGAGGCGAGAACTTCCCTCTGACCTCCCACAGGCCGATAAAATCACAGAGGCCCTTGGTGGCTTACCGCATGTGATCGGGAATGAATTATAATAATGTAAAAACATTTTTCGCCTCTACAGCAAAACATTTTTTTGGACCTGATTGTAGCATAGGTGACTTACTTTCTCAACCTCGGTCTGCTCTATTTGTGAACCAATGCGAATGAAACTCGGCAACCAATCAGAAAATAGGGCAAAATAATGATATGTGGACGTTGAAGTTCGTACACACATAAACTAACCTATACTTTTGGTGTCGGGAACACTTTCATATCGGGTGTACCGAAAACTATACGGAGCTGGAATTTCAACGTCGAGATGGTAATAGATCTATCCTCTAAAGTGTGCTCAAATTTGAACGTTTTGTGTCAAGTAGTTTAGACCCTATCATAAATGCACGACTACCCCCTTATCCAAAGGGGCTTCGCGTGGAGACCGGCCATTTCCCCCTCATTCTCGCTGAAAATGTATGTGACCTACACGTCCCTGCATGACTATTCTGAGCCCGTTCATTGGTCACTTGAAATAGGGCAATGGCAGGCGCGCGCATCCGGTTGTTTTTCTCTCTATTCCCCTGCAACATCGCAATGGGGGTGTTCGCGCCTCAACAGGGAAAAAGAATTTTTAATTGTACGGCATGCTAGATTGAATTAACTTATCTTTTACGGTTGGCATGGTCTAAAGTCATCAAAGAAAGCTTTGCCATTATTTAATCACACTGCCAACATATTTTTATGATCCCACATGTTGTGACACGATGCTATAAATAAAATGGACTCATCCCGACACCCCTTATTCGCAAAATCGAAATATGAACACCCCCTCCCCCCTGTTAAGGCTAGTGCGCATTAATACACACGTTAACACGGTGGGTCCACCAAAGTTCAATCCGACCAAAATAAATTTTTTATACAAAAAAAAGGCAGGAAAATATTCCTGGCTAATGTGGTAGGGTTCACTTCTAAGCCTATATGGCCACCCCGGGTGAGACTAGCCAGCTTTGGCTATTCTCACCCTCCGTGTGAAACACCAGTTTTTCCTAATTTCGGAATACTGTCTATCGGTGTGGATAATCAAATTGACAAAAGCAAAGAAATAATGACTGTATAGCACAAAAGTAAGCTAATTTGATCGTCTACAAAGATGCTATGGCAATTTCACTTTTCGAATCGAGCCAAACTACGCGGGTCGCCATTTTGTTTTGCCCGAAAGTTCTCGCGCTACTCCTTTCTCTCTCTCACTGACTACAGACAAAATTGCATGGTTTCAACACAAGAGCGCTGGAACGTTTGTTCCAGCACAGAATTCTACACTTCTGTTATCACAATGTAGAATTCTCTGTGGTTCACGGTGAACGCTACACTGGTTGGTCTAGGCTATCACGGTGAACACACACCGGGTGAGAATAGCCAAACGGCTCGCTTGCGCTCAGGGTGAGAATAGAGGTGGCCTTTGTCCTTAGCAATCGCTTATGTTTCTTGTGTAAACAAACGGGAAGGCAATTTCCAAAGAGCCCCCGCACCAACACCACCCCCCAACCTAACCCAAACCCTACCCATCTATTCCACTCTGTCTCATAGTGGTCAATCGTTACGGAAGTCCTCCCACCGAAATAATAGTCACAAGGTTTAATTTTCTAGATTCTAGATTTAGATATCTTCTAGATCTAGTAAAAGTGTGTGGGCTTTTCAAAAACAAAGTGACAATTTCTCCAAACGCTTGGGAAAATAAAGTTGAACTCTATTTCTCGTAACGGTTTTTGGTCTTGAGATTTTTCGGTTATTTGCAAGATTTAGACGTCATCCTTTCATTCTGCGAGGTAGCATTTTTTGCATCTAATTCAATTTCTAGAGCTAGAGATTTTCAAATATCTGAATATTCAGATACTTCAGTTGTGGTTTGGGCAACATATCCGGGCTATACTTCATTTGAAAATACCTTCAAAAGATACTGCGAGAAAACAGGACTGCTCGACTTTGGCAGTAACCTATAATTTTGCATTGTCACCCAGCAAAAACTAAACGAAGCGACTGGTGACTATTTCTCCGAACGTTCGGGAAACTAAAGCTGAACTCTATTTCTCCTAACAGTTTCCGATCTCGAGATTTTTGGGGTTATTTGCGAGATTTAGGTGCCATCCTTTCATTCTGCGAGGACTGGGAAGAAGCATTTTTTGCGTCAAATTCAATTTCTAGAGCTGGAGATTTTTAAATGTCTGAATATTGAGATACTTCAGTAGGGGATGGGGCAACGTTCATGGACTATACTTCATTTAAAAATACCTTCAAAAGGTACTGCGAGAAAACAAGACTGAAAAGTAACCTATTGACTATTGTGCATTTAGTAGTCACCCAAAAAAAACTAAAATCCTTTATGTAAAAAAAACAAAAAAACCTCCCCC